ATCATAATAGTGTACAAACTTACAATTCCAATTAATTATAGTCGAATTTCGACTACTGCGGGACCTCTAGTATTATTTTTAATTCACATAGCAACGTCAGTTTATTTATTTGTCCACATTCACGGACTGGTCAAACCGGAGATACAAATTAAAGATCACTAACATCTGAATATTAAACAAACATGTAAACAAAAATTCGTAATAAATTACTTTTTTTATGAAATTGTTTATTTAAATTAAACAAACTATTTGCGTTTTACGGGTTTTTTTTTAAAGAAATGTCTAGACGGTATCTTGACCCGTCCTGTGTTGAGTTGTTCCCGGACGTCATAGATTGTTATTGCAATGATTGAATTTTTTTTTTTTTTTTTGTTCCCTACCCAATCTGGTAGCCTAGAGAGGCTATTCCAGCGTAACCGTAATTAGTAAATTCTTTTATAGTGATTATAATTTCTCGATCGCGTAAAAGTTAACTCAAATTTGTGTGGAGTCGGAACAGTTTTTTTATTTTTTATTTTTTTATTGCCTTTGTAGGCAGACGAGCATACGGCCCACCTGAGGTGAGTGGTTACCCATGGTGAGTGGTTACCGTCGCCCATGGACTTCAGCAATGCCAAGGGCAGAGCCAAGCCGCTGCCTACCGCTTAATACTCTCCACAAGTCTCGTTTGAAGAAGGGTATGTCATAGCGCTCGGGAAACACCGTGGAGGGGAGCTCATTCCATAGCCGGATGGTACGTGGCAAAAAAGATATTTGGAAACGCACTGTGGATGACCGCAGTGGCTCCAGGTAGTATGGATGAACTCTACTCCGGTGGCGGGCGGTGCGATGGTAAAAACGAGACGTTGGTATCATCTCGAACAGTTCCGTTTGCCGCTAGGGGCGCTGTTCCAACTGCATACAAATTTGAGTTAACTTCTGAGAGAGTTATAAACCTCGGACTAACTAAACACTTGTTAATCAGTCTATTTACTGTGAACATATCGTTGTGAACGCGGCCGAAATATGAGAGGTAAATATATTTTTTTTTTATTGCCATGTAGGCAGACGACCATACGGCCTACTTGATGGTGAGTGGTTACCGTCGCTCATGGGCGTCAGCAAAGCCAAGGGCAGAGCCAAGGCGCTGCCTACCGCTTCATACTCTCCACAAGCCTCGGTAGTTGACTGCAGTATTTATTGTATGTAATGAAAATTACAATATATTAAACATCATCTTATCACTAACTACGAGTATTTTGTTAGACGACAATTTCTAAGTTAGATTTCATTATTGGAATTTAAAAAAAAAAAGAAGTTCTATTTATTTGCTAATCCTATTTTATAATATATTCTTTGAATAATATTTAACAAAAAAAAGTTCTAAATTATTTGCCAATCCTATCTTATAGTATGTGTTCTTTGAATAAAATAATCATTTGAAACTCATTTAAGGTAAAAAATTTCGTTTCGCTAACATCGAATAGACAAGTATGAAGATATTGTGTTAGGCATGACCTTGGTGTGTCTGCAAAGGTCAACGGCCTTCGTAATATATCTAGTGCGTCCGTCGGATTAGTCGAATTAGACTACGTTCCAATAGATACGAGACAGACACGTATGTATACAAATTTATTGTGATGTTTTTAATGTTTATATTGATAACCTTTTTCACTGGTGGTAGGACCTCTTGGGAGTCCGTACGCGTAGGTACCACCACCCCTCCTATATCCGCCGTGAAGCAGTAATGCGTTTGAAGGGTGGGGCAGCCGTTGTAACTATACTGAGATCTTAGAACTTAAATCTCAAGATGGGTGGCGCATTTACGTTGTAGATGTCTATGGGCTCCAGTAACCACTTAACATCAGGTGGGCTGTGAGCTCGTCCATCCATCTAAGCAATAAAAAAAAAACTTATCTTTAAGAAATAATAAAACTATTCAAATCTGCTTTTTGTGCTTTTTTTTTTCAAATTATCAATGATCCTAGTTTCGGAATCGTTTGCGGCTACTGATTTTGAGAATGAGGTTAAAAGAAAATCATGAGCATTCTAATGCTTGTTGTGACCCTGACGTTTCTAATGTGAAAGAGCGAAGGTTACAGACTTCACGACAATATTGACTACACGATTCTTTGCTCCCCATCTTCAAAAATGAATATCACATACTGTATAAATACATTCATCACATAGTATAAATACTATTGTAGTCGTTAATATTTTAAAAGCAACTCCAAAATGTCTACGGTTACGTTGATCTATATATTAATACGTGAAGCAAAAACTATGTATCCCTTTTTAAGAAAATTGTGGGGACGGAGGAGTATGAAAGTTTCCACACTTATAGAGAATATAGAAAAGAAGTGCACAATGCTAATATTTTTTTTAAAATAATGCGTAAAAGATACATTAAATCAATAAATAAAACATTACACACATTACGTACCATGTATTTGACGCACACACGCATTTACTATTTATTGTCAAACTTTTGTTCTTGACGTCTGTTGTCAAATTGAGATTAAATATTGTTTTTGTCTTTGTTAATATTTTTTATAGTTGTGGTCTTTGCGAAATTTGTGATTATAGAAGTACAAAATACAATCATAATAGTGTACAAACTTACAATTCCAATTAATTATAGTCGAATTTCGACTACTGCGGGACCACTAGTATTATTAAAATGATTAAATTCCAAAAGAATCGATTCGATTCAATTTGAATTTGCGTTACGTTACGTACAAATATACTTTTAAATCTCCGAATTATGTTTTTATTAATCGAATTAATAGTACTGTCTCGGTATCGGGAGCTCTGCCAGAAAAGTGCAAAGAGTTTGTATTGTTGTTTCAAATTTGCATATACAACGCTATATCCTATAGGTGAGAATCCTATAGGTGAGGTTGAAAATCAATTATAGAATAATATCTTCTCATCAAGAAGTGGCCAGTGCCTTTGAGCGCTACTTTGCTGATATCCCAGCTTCTACTTCAAAATCTTTAATTTCATCTCCTACCGTCGCCGAATCATTACTGCAAGATCATGTTGATAAATGCGAACTGTGTTAACTTGAAGTTCACAAATATTGATATAGGTAAAGGACATAATTGATAATTTCAAGCTCATTAATATTANTATCTTCTCATCAAGAAGTGGCCAGTGCCTTTGAGCGCTACTTTGCTGATATCCCAGCTTCTACTTCAAAATCTTTAATTTCATCTCCTACCGTCGCCGAATCATTACTGCAAGATCATGTTGATAAATGCGAACTGTGTTAACTTGAAGTTCACAAATATTGATATAGGTAAAGGACATAATTGATAATTTCAAGCTCATTAATATTAAGAAAACTGGTGATTTATGAAAAATTTCAATTAAGGTTATAGAATCCATTATTGATATAATCGCACCTTACCTTGCTACAATTTTTAATGACTGTATTGATTGTGATGTGTTTCCTGATCTAATGAAATATAGTAAAATAATACCTATATTTAAATCTGGTAGTACTTTTGACTCCTCTAACTTTAGGCCCATTTTAGTACTACCTACATTGAGTAAAATTTTTGAAAAAAATATTTTGGATCAACTTTTGAACCATTTAAATTCCAAAAACCTGCTTCATAACAAACAATATGGATTCATTAGAGGTCGTTCAACTATTGATGCAGGTGTAGATCTTATTAAAAATATTTTTCAGGCTTGGGAGGAATCGCATAATGCCCTTGGGGTATTCTGCGACTTATTTTGATTGTGTTGAGCATAATACATTGTTGAGGAATTTACACCATTATGGTACTAGGGGCGTTTCATTAGAACTTATGAAATCTTATTTATCCGGAAGAATCCAAAAGGTAGACGTTAAAGGAAAGAGATATTCCGGTGTCTTACTTAATATGGGTGTTCCTCAGGGTTCCATATTGGGTCCCTTCCTATTTCTTGTGTATATCAATGATTTACCAAAGTTTATTGAAACCCGTCACGAGGTCGTATTATTCGCTGACGATACATCCTTATTGTTTAAAATTAAACAATAAGTTTTGCAGCGTTTGCGGTAAAAAAAATACGAACGTATACTAATGAAGATACGGCACGTCTGGTTTATTTCAGTTATTTTCATAGTGTTATGTCCTATGGCATTTTGCTATGGGGCAATGCTGCCGTGCACCCGAGGGAATCCTTGAGGGACAAGTTTAAGGAAATCAAAATTCTAACTTTAGCGTCCCAATACATTCGAACCCATTGCTTGCGACGAAAGGCTCGTCGAGTAAATTAACCCACAGACACAGCCCACTGAGTTTCTCGCCGGATCTTCCCAGTGAGTCGCGTTTCCGATCCAGTGGTAGTTTTTTTTTTTTTATTGCTTAGATGGTTGGACGAGCTCTCAGCCCACCTGGTGTTAAGTGGTTACTAGAGCCCATAGACATCTACAACGTAAATGCGCCACCCACCTTGAGATGTAAGTTCTAAGGTGTCAGTATAGTTACAACGGCTGCCCCACCCTTCAAGCCGAAACGCATTGCTGCTTCACGGTAGAAATAGGCTTCAGATTCTGCGAAGCATGGCTCTTGCTAGGGTTCGTGTTAGCAACGTCGTCAGGTTTGAGCCCCGTGAGCTCACCTACTAGTTAAGGTTACGCTGATATGGTCTCTCTAGACCATCAGCTTAGGTAGGAAAAAAAAGCACTGAAGTAATTAATTCGATTTCTGTTTTCGATCTTCTAACCAAGGCGCCGAACTACTAGGAAAGACGAATCCAAAGATACTGAGAATGAGGAAAGTTTTAAGTTATACACTTATTATTTTTTTCGTCTTGTGTATTTTCGGCGGTAAAAATCTCGTGTCACAGACTGTCTTCTTTTTTCTACCTCTCGTGCGTTCCGGCTTATGCCTAAAACGTACATTAAAAACAAAAGAAGCTAAAGTTAGTGAATCCAGGCGTTCAGTAACAGAAATCGACATGATCACTTCTGTGCGCCACGTACCACGTATTCATTTAACTGATGATTTTATTGTTCTTTTCAGCGGTGAATCAGTTCATGGTGCAGGGTGGAGACATAGTCAACGGCGACGGCAGCTGCGGCGAGAGCATATACGGCCCGAAATTCGAAGACGAGAATTTTACTCTCACGGTAATAGTAATCTTGCCCACCGAGGGGGGGCTGGTGGTCGTGGCGCCGACGACCGCCGGTCGGACGTCCCGAGGGGGAGGGCGATGGGAGAGACGTGCTCCGCACTAAACGCTTCACTCTCCTCCCTTTGATTTCTACATTTTTCAATCAATTCAATTTCATTTTTCATGAGTTCTGTCCCATGCGAGTCTTGGACGTGGGTTTTTGAGCGATAGGAGGTTTTAGCCGGTTCGATTTCGACATACTCCGCCCGCCATTCCCAGTGGAGGGGTGGAGTCCGGTGATTTGATAGAGAAAAAAAAACCGATCCGGTGGTAGATTCTGCGAAGCTCTTGCTGGGGCTATCGCCTGTTCTAATCGAACCTTTTTCCACAATACTATCTGCTCCGAAGTCACCACGCGTTTCTAGTTTAAAGGCTGAGATTTTGTAGACACTTCAAACCTTAACCTCATGTTCCAAGTGGGTGGCGGTCAATGCCTTTGGATTCGGTTCTCGTTTAAAAGTCACTTGGAACGCTAGTTCACTTGTCTGTCTGTCACACAAAAAAAAAATACAAATTACCAACGTTCAAAAGTTTAAAACTATTTTGTGTCGATAATAAAAGAAGTTTTAAATATAATCTCATTATATTTTTTTATAGAACCAAACCAGTTTCGCGCTGAATCAATTTATAGTTTAAATCAAACTACATAATGTCTTCAAGGTGATCAACAGTTAAAATTAAAGCCGTCATCTATCGATTATTTCCTGAGATTTGTGGAGTTTGATAACTGTGCCGTAAATAATGAATATAAAGATTTTATTATTGAAGTTAATAATCAATAAATTTTCGTTTATATCATTGGTGAATCCCAAAAAATATAATATATAATATTCAATTTTTCGCGTTTGTATAGGTGACATTTAAATATTTTTATTTTATATTATTATTTTTTAAATTTAATTCTATATTTTTATGGCAATTTTAAGCAGATTAGCTTTTGTTTTATTGCATAGATGGGAGGATAAGCTCACAGCCCACCTGGCGTTCAGTGGTTACCGGAGCCCATAGATTCTCAATCATTCTTCATTCAAATCTTTAATGACGTTGAGAAAGAAGAAAAAACGATTCGTCTCTATAATATGATAATCATTTCCTGCGGCTTCACTAACGAACGGTAATCGAGGCCTCCCGCTGATCATATGGTTCGTCGGTAATCATTTATTGATTAGTATTATAATAAAAGAATCTATCATCGCATATATCCGAAAATAATTCGTATCGCGTTAACAAACAGCATTCCGATTGTGGGGAATTTTTTTTTCCTTGGCAATACTAAGTCTTTGAGAAAGTTATATTATGTTATAATTTTATATGTAACAACGATCATTGATAGGTCTCGGGAAAAAAAACTAAATCGATATATTAAAATAAAAATATAAATCATTTTTTTTATTGCTTAGATGGATGGACGAGCTCACAGCCCACCTGATGTTAAGTGCTAACTGGAGCCCATAGACATCTACAACGTAAATGCACCACCCACCTTGAGATATAAGTTCTGAGGTCTCAGTATAGTTACAACGGCTGCCCCACCCTTCAAACCGAAATGCATTACTGCTTCACGGCAGAAATAGGCAGGGTGGTGCTACCTACCCGTGCGGACTCACAAGAGGTCCTACCACCAGTAAAATAAATGTGGTATAATAAATTATTAATTATTGATTGTGGACGTTTACATATATATATGTTTTATGTCTTTACTCCTCCCCGCCTACATTACTTTAAACAACATTCAATTTGTAAATTACATTATACTATCTCATGTAGACATCATAAATCTTGTTTTTCGATTTTAATGCATACGTTTTTTTTATTATTTTTTCAATTGAATAATATATTTCATTTCACACTTTTTGTTTTATTTGATTAGAAATAACAAGCTAGATTATATTTTTAACCGACTTCAAAAAAGGAGGCGGTTTTCAATTCGACTGTGTTTTTTTTTAATGTTTGTTACCTCATAACTTTTGATTCGGTGAATCGATTTTGATAATTCTTTTTCTATTAGAAAGCTGACGCGTGTGGTCCCATTTCAATTTAGTCCAGTTCTGATAATGGTATCCATGAGAAAGCCGTATAAGTCTTGAATTTGCATTAAGTACGTGTGCGACAAATAGACGAATAACTCAATATCACGCCACTCCGATTTCGATGATTATTGTTTTTAGTGTATATTAATTTGTTTTGGAATATCTTTTTTTTTAATTCGTCAATCACCGCGGCCGCTTTCACACTTCCTCTGATATCCTCATTCCTTATCCTTTTATTCCTTTTCCCTCTATCTTGCACTACCATTTCCACACATCTCCTAGTCAAATACATCTTCTCTCTACGCATCACATGTCCATATCACGCTGACCGTCCGCTCTTTAATTTGTCAATCACCGGGTCTACTTTCACACTTCCTCTGATATGCTCAATACTTATCCTTTTGTTCCTTCTCCCTCTCCCTTTCACTACCATTTCCATACATCTCCTAGCAAATACATCTTCTCTCTACGCATCACATGTCCATACCACGCTAACCGTCCGCTCTTTAATTTGTCAATCACCAGGTTTACTTTCACACTTCCTCTGATATACTCATTCCTTATCATTTTGTTTCTTCTCCCTCTGCCTTGTACTAGCGTTTCCATACATCTCCTAGTCACACGCACAGCAGCAGCAATCGAATAACAGTCAAACAAAAATTACTTTTGTCATCAGGCGAAATCCGGAGTACTGGCGATGGCGAACGAAGGTCGACCGGACACAAACAGTTCGCAGTTCTGTATAACGACGATACCGTGTCCCCACATAAACGGCACTAACGTTATATTCGGGGAGGTGGTCGCCGGATTCGAACTGGTCGACGAGATGCAGAGATACGGCGAAGGGGACGACGGGAGGCCCGGGGCGGTATGTTGGTAAACGTCCTTTTCTATTTTTAAATATGTAATCTTCTATCTCTATATATAAAAATGAATTGCTGTTCGTTAGTCTCGCTAAAACTCGAGAACGGCTGGACCGATTTGGCTAATTTTGGTCTTGAATTATTTGTGGAAGTCCAGGGAAGGTTTAAAAGGTAAATAAATATGAAAATGCTTGGAAATAAATAAATATAACAATTTTGTTTTTCCTTTCATGTGTCCCCCGTCGGGCGGATTCCTTTTGTTTGCCAATTGGCTTTGTAATTAATTGTCGGTTTAATATTAGATGTTGCAAGATACAAATTTCGAATTAAACCAACAGACGTGTTGTCGCGACGGAGATTTAAAAAGTGAACTAAAACTATTAGGAACTATGGTTTACTGCTTGCCACTGAAAATACTGACTGAGCAGGAAAGTACCCTACCTCAGCAGTACTTAAAGGATGTAGGGTTGTCTTATAACAGTGCGAAATGAATCATAAATCATTTTTATCAGACCTCTCGCTCACACTTATATGTATATCGGACGCCGTTGCGAGAGCTTCAAGTTCTCTTTCCATATTATTGTCAGGCCACGCTCAAAGCAGTGCAGTAGATATTAAATATACTTTTGTAAGCAATCTTTGGTTGAAGGCGGCTTCAGAACATGAAAATAAATAAACTAAAAAAAAACGATATATAAAAATCTATATATTAATACGTGAAGCAAAAACTTTGTACCCCTTTTTACGAAAATTGCGCGGACGGAGGAATATGAAATTTTCCACACTTATAGAGAATATAGAAAAGAAGTGCACAATGCTAATATTTTTTTTAAAATAATGCATAAAATATACATAAAATCTATAAAGAAAACATCACACACACTACGTACCAGGTATTTGACGCACACACGCATGCATACTATTTATTGTTAAACTTTTGTTCTTGACGTCTGTTGTCAAATTGAGAATAGATTAAATATTGTTTTTTCTTTGTTAATATTTTTTATAGTGTAGTCTTGGCGAAATTTGTGATTATAGAAGTATAAAATACAATCATAATAGTGTACAAACTTACAATGCCAATTAATTAAGTCGAATTTCGACTACTGCGGGGCAATTAGTTTATTTAAAAACGTATGCATAAGTCGCCGCCTTTGAACCTAATGAACTCTTATTCGATTAGAATATTTAGATAAAATGCTGATTAAGATAAGTATTCTAGTAAAGAATGCAATGGATTTCCATATTTTTTTACGATTTCATATAGATTTACGTTAGGAATTTAATAATTTTATAGAGCTAAAAATTTACATATTATAAAATTCCAGTTCAATGGTCTTAATAGAGATCTAGTTGGACCAGCACTGAACTGACTGCTATGATAAAAAATATCTTATGCTCTTTAATATAAGGCTGAAGTTTCAATTAGATTGAAATATCGACTACCCTAGTAACGAAAGAGGAAAGCATGTATGTGAGCTCACAACACGAATAATTTAGTTTAAACTTGTAATATGCGATGTAGTTCCTTCATTGAATGAATATACATTAAGTACACAAGCCCACTTTCTCGCCGGATCTTCTCAGTGGTCGCGTTTCCGATCCGGTGGTAGATTCTTTGAAGCACTGCTCTCTTGCTAGGGCCAGTGTTAATAACGCCTGCTGGTTTGAGCTCCGCGAGCTCACCTACACGTTAGGGTTACTATCATATTAGGCAGGAAAAAAATGTACAAAAAAATTGGTACCAGTTCAAGAATCGAACACACACCTAGTTCGAACCACTAAATAGGGCTTACTTAATATTTAGAAGCACGTTTCGGTTATTCTATCGTATCGACTTTGATGGCAAACTAACGTACGGCTCACACGATGATGAGTGTTTACCATCAATCAAACCGCTGTCTATAGCCGAGTACTGATCAAGAGTAATATATTTCAGAGACAAATTGTAAAGAGTAAATCATTTTTAGAAACTCAGTCTGGATTATCGCAGGAAAGATTAGGAAACAATTTAATAATCACTACATAGTATAAAACAAAGTCGCTTTCTCTGTCCCTATATATTAAAACTACGCAACGGATTTTGATGCGGTTTTTTTAATAGATAGAGTGATTGAAGAGGAAGGTTTATATGTATAATAAAATCCGTTAACTAGTGGAGATGTCAATAATAAATTACAGTTTCCGAAGCGAAGCGAAGGCGGGTCGCTAGTAAATGATAATTTAAAAAAAATGAAATGTACCGTGTTTTAGGAAAATAAATTTATCAAATCAATCGTTTGACTATAGTGTTTGAACCCTGCTGTTTGCTTACAAGTGATTTTTCTAGGAATGCGTGATCGAAGACTGCGGCGAAATAACAGAGCAGAACTGGGACGTGTGCTGCAGGGATGGCACCTCCGACAAAATACCCGAATTCCCGACGGACTGGAGGAATATCGGAGCCGTTTCGGTGAGTGAAAGCGAGAAAAGGCATTTTACAATTACATATCGACGCTTGAAAGGCAAACGTGAACTTTACAGTAGACTAATTTAAAGTTGAAATACCTGAAAAAAAAGGGTGCGTGTACTTATGTACGCGCCTAAGAAGTTATACTTTATTTTTATTAAATTTATTTCTTTTTTTATTTATTTAAATTTTAATCAATTTGAAAAAAATCGATTAAACAACATCTTCAAACACGCATATTGGACATCCCTTTTCTTGACATCGTATAAATTCGGTAAGTCTCGGTACGGTTCGGAAAGTTCACCTGCGGCTATATTCAGACTCGCCAAGTTACGTCGGCCGTATTGTAATGAGCGGTTTAGTGGGCAACTTCATTCTGCTAATTTTGTGTCACGGTGCGCGCGCATCGTAAAATTTCACTCTCATCAATTTTTCATAACGCACCTAAAGAAGTATAACTAAAAAAAATCTTTTTTAACGAATCTAGCTGTAGGCTTGAAATCATTTTAATAGACCTAGAAATATATATGTTTTTTGCGCATCGAATATGGTTATTGCCTATCATTTAAGTACAAAGCAGTTATTGTCGCTTAGTCACGTTTGCCTTTCAAGCGTCGATATTTATGTGATTAGAGAGAAGCATAAAACCTACTTTAAGTAAAAACTTTTTTAAATGAATTGGTGGGTAGTTTTTTCTTTTAATGCCCCGACTTCTGGAGTATGATGTTTTGTTTAATTGTGTAGAGATTTGGGAAACTCTCGCAGGAACGTGAGGAGTGAAGTTGGGTGAATTGTTTTATCTTGTTAATTCCGTTATTCTTCAGGTTTAAATTTATATATGTATATAAACAACGATGGTTTATTAACTTTTTAATATCTGTGAAAGTGCAAAAATGTGAGAAAATGAAACAATGGTGTCGGATGTAGATTCTCGGGTTCCTCCAAACAGTCCATTGAAAAAGTCTTAGTATATAACCATCATTTTATAATTAGAGATAATATTTCGACCTATCTTATCTCGTTTCATTAAATTTCATCTCAATTGGTTAAAAGTCCCAAATGAATCAACTTCATCTCATTTCGTTTCATATCATTTCTTTTAAAACAGAATAAAAGTAGAAATAAGATTTGGCTTAAAGGTCACGTTACTATAGTATAAAATAAAAATAAAAAGTATTTAAAGGATTGGTTGCACAAAATTAAATATCCATACAATACCAATTTCAACTTGATTATTAAAATATGATAATCGAAATGATTATGCGCCTGCCAAGATCTAAATTCCGATATCTTTTTTTATTATTATTATTAACGTAACATAATTTAATATAATAGTATTTTTGTTACCGTTTATAATGTTAGTTTCGTGGTCACGAACGACCAATTTGTTATTATTCGTCGACATTTGAATTAATTCGCCAAAGGAAAAATTAGAAATAAAATGCAATTATAATATAAAAATAAAAGCAGTTTTATTTATCTATGAAAACTGTGCTATAGTCAATTTTCTTTTTTAATTCTCAATATACAATTTCTATATACGACTAGAAATAATACGTTCCCGTTGCTTATAAGAATAAGATTGTTAGCGTTAGGTTGGGGAGTGATCTATATATTAATACGTGAAGCAAAAACTTTGTACTCCTTTATACAAAAATTGCGCGGATGGAGGAGTATGAAATTTTCCACACTTATAGAGAATATAGAGAAGAAGTGCAGAATGCTAATTTTTTTTTAATTATGGTTTAAAAATACATTAAATCCATAAAGAAAACATTATACACACTACCATGGTAATGGTGGTAGGACCACTTGTGAGTCCGCGCGGGTAGGTACCACCGCCCTGCCTATTTCTGCCGTGAAGCAGTAATGCGTTTCGGTTTGAAGGGTGGGCAGCCGTTGTAACTATACTGAGACTTTAGAACTTGTATCTCAAGGTGGGTGGCGCGTCTACGTTGTAGATGTCTATGGGCTCCAGTAACCACTTAACACCAGGTTGGCTGTGAGCTCGTCCACCCATCTAAGCAAAAAAAAAAAGTATTTGACACTCAAATATAGAGTATATTTATTGTCAAACTTTTGTTATTGTTTAAAGTCTGTAGTCAAACTGAGAATAGGTTAATATTGTTTATCTTTAATATTACGAGTATTTGTCTACTATAGTATAGTATTGGCGAAATCTGTTGAAACTTATAATTTCAATTAATTATAATCGAATTTCGGCTACTGCGGGACCACTAGTATTATGAAATAAATGAAGCTCTTGAATAAACACGGTCGAGTGAAATGCTATCATGAATGATTAAGTGACGTTAATTTAGAATACTTTAAGAAAATATCGTAAAAGCTATTAGCGTTTCTTTATATCAAGAATTCAAATTTATTAAGATAATTCACTGATTCTAATGAATAAATGAATTAATAATTACCGATAACTGAATTGAGATCACGAAATACGAAAAATAAAATAAAACTTTATCGTCTGGTCGGTCCGTGTGTTTAGTGCGAGTTTTTTAACGTTCTCGATAGCGTAAAAGTTAACTCATATTTGTATATGGAATGGGATCGTTTGCGTACGTTTTCCGGTAGGGACGCTGTTCCAACTGCATACCAAATTGGGTTAACTTTTACGCTATCGAGAACGTTAAAAAACTCGCACTAAGCACACTGGTTCCTCTAGTAACTTTGCGAAATATATAAAAGTACTAGATGTGCCCCGCGGTTTTCGTTAAGTATCATAAGTCAGTAAGAATGAAATACGTCGCAATTTATCGACGATAAAAGCCTGTGCGTGGGATCCATAAGGCACCGATTCGGTCGATTTATACATCTGTGGTTAACGTAAAAACATTATATAAACCAGCGAACACTGTGATACAATACCCTAATATAATATTTAAACTCTGAAGTCGTCGTGGCCTNATAATATATTAATTAACATTATTGTCGAGCTCAATTTGCAGTCTAAGTCGCCATATGAAATCCGTTCATCCCACAATAAATTATATTAAGTAAAAAATAAAATTATTATATTATTAAGTAAGTCAATCTCTGTCAAGTAATATAACAGTGTATTACAATACAAAGTTCATACTTTGTATTGTAATACACTACTGTAATTACACACCCGAATCATTACCTAAGTGATGTGTATCAACACATCACTTAAGTAATGATTCGGGTGTATAGATACGATGTATTCGTCGTCACAGTATCTATTGAACGCACCGAGTAATGTTATGAGTGATGTGTAATGTTTTCGAGTAATATCACCTGTCTGTAAAAGTGATGTCATATCACATTACATTGGGAAGTGATGTTTTGCGCATGTCTAGTAACTACCGTTTTAAAATCTTTATCGATACGATCGCAGATGTCATTAATGACAAACTTAGATTAATTTAAGGTAATTTCAAGTTTAATACATTTAATACTGTAATTACATTGATCAAATTTTCGTAAATACCTCAGTGGTTTCAGAATATTTTAATTTTATTTTGTTCGTTTTGAGATTCTCTGCATATCTTATGAACTGGAAGTCGCGTTTCCGAACTGATTGAGAAAATTGTTATTACATTTTGACAGCTACAATTCTGCGATCGTGATCGTTTACACACTGCCTCATTAGTTTAGTCGAAGCTTTTGGTCGATCCTCATAGCATCTTGGCATTTAATTTTCGTGTACCTAGATAATTCAAAAAGAAAATTCATATGTTATTTTAAAAACTTTTTGAATGAAAAAAGATTTTGAAATTAAATGCTCAGAAACTTCGATCAATAATACTACTAGATTCGCGATAAGCGCTTCAAAAACGGCCCGAAAAATAAGACCACAAATAAATTTGTGGTCTTATTTCAAATTAGTATGGTCCAATCATAGCCAACACTAAGACGTCAAACCGCTGCACTGCGCGTTCAAAAACGGAGTAAAAAACCACCGTAACACCAAGGTTTTGGAAGGAATATATTTTTTTGNTGCCCCGCGGTTTTCGTTAAGTATCATAAGTCAGTAAGAATGAAATACGTCGCAATTTATCGACGATAAAAGCCTGTGCGTGGGATCCATAAGGCACCGATTCGGTCGATTTATACATCTGTGGTTAACGTAAAAACATTATATAAACCAGCGAACACTGTGATACAATACCCTAATATAATATTTAAACTCTGAAGTCGTCGTGGCCTAAAAGATAGACGTCCGGTGCATTCGTATGTAGCGATGCACCGGTGTTCGAATCTCGCAGGCGGGTACCAATTTTTCTAATGAAAAAGGTACTTAACAAATGTTCACGATTGACTTCCACGGTGAAGGAATAACATCGTGCAATAAAAATGAAACCCGCAAAATTATAATTTGCATAATTACTGATGGTAGGACCTTTTTTTTTTTAAGGTAGGTGCCACCACCTATTTCTGCAGTAGTAATGCGTTTTGGTTTGAAGGGTGGGGTAGCCGTTGTATACTGAGACCTTAGAACTTATATCTCTAAAATGGGTGGCGCATTTACGTTGTAGATGTCTATGGGCTCCAGTAACCACTTAACACCAGGTGGGCTGTGAACTCGGCCACCCATCTAAGCAATAAAACTAAAATAAAAACTCTTAATATACTCTCCCTTAAACAGAATCCTTTGGGACTACAATAATGTCCATGGTAGCGCGGTCCCCGTCAATGTTTATACGGAGTTGTCCGATTGCGCTGAACTAATTTTAAGTCATGTAATAGATGTTTTTTTTTTGTAATAATAATTGTCTTACAACATACAGGCGCAGATCATTTACCAACTAAATATAACCTAATAATAATTAAACAAATGTAATCAAGTTTTAGTTTCTAATAAGTGTAGATAGATATTAAATAATGGGTTGCTTAGTGACAAAGTATTATACTGGATTTTATATTTCTTGGAATTACTCTTAGTATTTTTACTTTTCTAATTTCATGACGTTGTCAATTATTGCACTGTCGATTGTACGTATAATTCATTGAAGGTATAATTGAGGTGACATCTGTCATGTACTTACTGTCGATTTGTCAATGTTTTGTATTGTGATGATCACTTTGTTGGTGCAACCAACTAAATAAATAAATGAATGAATGAATAAATAAAAAAGGCTTAATAAATTTGTTACAGTGCTACTTACTAACTTATATTATACCGTGTGAACTTGTCTTTCTACAGTTAGACGATTTAATATCGTGCATAAGGGACGTCAAGGCAGCCGGCAATGGAATGTTCAGCGAGCGTCGGTACAAAGCCGCGATCAGAAAGTACCGCAAGTGCCTCAGATACGTCGACTACGCTTTGAGTATAGTACAAGGAATGCACGAGAAAGAGACAGAACATAGTGAGTATCACACGATAAAGAAAGAGAAAAAATGATCAAATCAATCTAAACAAAAATTGTACCGTGTAATGTCCGGTGTATTGAGACGGTTCTCTGAAACGCAGGTCAACGGAATTTTAAATTTTGGCTTGTACGCAATGTATCGCAATTAACGATCAGATGAACCAAAAGGTCATGCAACGGTGTTAATTCTTTGACGGGAACGCGAGGAGTGAAGTTTAGCATCTGTGAAAGTGAACAAATGTAAGAAAATTCACTCACACTGGACGTAGCTTCCCAAAAGTCTTCAAAAAGTCCAGTCCACTGAAAAAGTCTCAGTAATTAACCAATATTTTATTGAGACTTTATTTCGGCCCATCTCATTTCGGTTCATATTATATCAGAGAACATAAAAAGAAAGAATATATGGCTTAAAAGTCTAGTTACCAGGACATGAAATTAAAAAAATAATTGTAAACTGTGTCTTATGCCGCGTTGCCTTTGCCCTACATTGCGGGCTCACAATTTGTTAATTCTGCCAACGAGCAGACGAGTTCATGGCCCATTTGACGCTAAATGTTAACAGAAACTCATAAATATGACAACGCGTATACCGCTGCTGTCCAAAGTCTCAGTTATATCGATAATTGGCTATTAGAGATCTGCATACTGGAACACTGGTTTGCGATATAAAATTCGTATAATGCAGAAGACATATCCGTGTAGAATCTATATCTATACTAATATATAAATCTACAGTGATTTTACAGATGTTCTGTTATAACTACTGAACCATGCATCCGATTGACTTGAAACTTGGTATCCATGTAGAAAATACATGTACTTAATGGATAGTTGGACAACACTCATATAAATATTAGCCTATCCATTAAGTACATGTATTTTCTACATGGATACCAAGTTTCAAGTCAATCGGATGAATGACTCAGTAGCTATAACGGGACATCCGTAAAAACCACTGTAGATTTATATATTAGTATAGATTATTCTTTTTACACTTCAACAAACTATCGTCTGAACTATATAAAATAATTAAGAGAAATCTCTCACACTCACCTGAGTTATACTCCAGTAGCGGTCCAGCGAGATGAGGCACAGGTTCATGATTGATGCGGTGCAAAGTAGCACGTCCCTAATAATAATGACAGTAAATAATAATGTTAATTTTAAATGCTCAGAAAAGCGGGCGAGTACGGCTAGTAATTAATATATTTCTTCCAGTAATAGATTTAACATCAACGTTTATACTGCAGTGTAATTTGAATCTGGCCGCGTGTTACTCGAGAACCGAAGACTACAGAGCGTGTATCGAGTGCTGTACGCAGGTGAATAATAGTTTTACTAAACGCCGGAGAACGGTAAGAAATTGAACCTAAATGAAATAGTTATTTGTGCAACAAGAGAGCAAAGTTTTTTTTTTGTGTCGAATGCCGAATTGTGAGTGAGAGACTCAACAACACGAGATGCAAAGAACTTTTCTTGTAGCACACATTACTGGTTTTATTAGCGGTAGGGCCTCTTGTGAGTCCGCACGGGTAGGTACCACCACCCCGCCTATTTCTGCCGTGAAGCAGTAATACGTTTCGGTTTGAAGGACGGTGCAGCCGTTGTAACTGTACTGAGACCTTAAAACCCATATCTCAAAGGTGGGTGGCGTTACGTTGTAGATGTCTATGGGCTCCGGTAACCACTTAACACCAGGCTGTGAGCTCGTCCATTCATCTAAGCAATAAAAAAAACTGTCTAAAAATTACAATAATGAGAACCCCCCCCCCCCCCCCTTTTCCCCCCTCAGGTGCTGGACAGAAGCCCGCGTAACGAGAAGGCCCTGTACCGGCGAGGCCAAGCGAATTTCGCCCTTAAGAACTACGAGGCCGCGCTGTCCGATCTGAGGCGGGCCGAGCGCGCGTCGCCGCACAACCGCGCCGTGCTCGCGCTGCTGGACGAGGTGCGCCGCTGCAGCCGCCGCTACAACGAGCTGCAGAAACAGAGGCTCTCAAAGTTTTTTCGTGAGCAAAAAGAGCGCGCCGCCGCCGCCAACAACTGAGCTGAGGCTGCGGGTGCTAGTGCGCATCCAGTGACCCCCCAACCCCCCGCACCTAACGGGGGCGCGGTCGTGTATCTCACTCTATTCGATTGCAAACGAACGTGCAATATCCTGATCGTCGCTCACTTGGATTCGGGAAAAGTGTTATTTTTATTCAAAATTGCCACGCAAAAATTACTGGGTTGGCCTAGTGGAAAGTTCACGACGCGTGACGTCATTAGGGGCTAATATAAGTGAATACATATATATATTATAACGGAACTATTAGCCGTATATGACAACGTGCATTATGATTCGTGTTTCATTTGACATAAAGAATGTTTGACGAATACATATAAAAATAGGATATGTTACGCAGACTACACATACTGTGGGATAGATGCAAGAAGTGAGTGAATAATCTTTTTGAGGTTTGATTCAGTGAACTCTGATTTATATATTGTTTTCAATGATACTATAATGTTTGTTGTTAGCTTTTTATTAATGTTATTTTTTTACGTTTATAGACAGGCGACCTTTGGATTTGACGAGGGGTCACCGTCAATCCTGGACAACAAAAATGTCAAGGGCCAAACTGAGGTCCACCGCTTAAGACTTCAAACCGCATTTAAGTCTTTAAAGAAAACAAATCTAATATAAAATGATAATGGCGGTAGTAGTCGAAAATAATTTTGGTCGCGGTAAATAGCTAATTTGAATTTGTGGGTAGATCGTAGCGCCTCCTAAAAGTTTTGCAGGATAAAAAACATACCAATTTACAAATGTTTTATATTTATAACACAGAGCAATTGAAAAACATTAGACGCGTGAGAATGTAATTATATTAGAGGCTCAATATTGCGGGTTTCGTTAAATGTAAAATGATTAAGGATGGTAAGTGTTTAAGCTCGTCTTGGCAAATTAATGTTTATATTCTTCCTTATATTAATTAATTAACTTTGTATGTTACTGTTGACTTTTCGAAAACCGTATCTTATTACTCGCATTTATTACTACATACAAAAAATTACAAAATTGTTTTTTTTTTTTAATTAATATTTATATTTTGTGCTTACTAAGGCCAATCTGGATCTCATGGCCATAGTATTTTGTACTGCCAATTATTAGGTGATTAAAGTTTTTTTTTGGTTTTTTTTTTTAGAAAATAACAATCTTTGGCAATTTTGGCAAGGTACTCAAATTATAGTTTAGGTTCTATAGCTAGATTGGAATAAAAAAATATTTGGATGATGTTATGCTATAGGGCAAAATTAAGAAAATTAGTAAATATGCTACTGAACTTGAAAATGTCTTAAAATAGTGTATTAGGTTTTATATTTTTTTTTTTGAAATAGTATATTAGGTTTTATATAATTTTTAATCCCTAAAAAGGATGAATCGATTAGATGATATATATTGTGATCTTCAAATTAGATGAATTATTTTGTTTTGATTTATAAGACTTTGAAATCACATTTATATTTATATTGTACATTAAATTTGAAGGAAGCTTTGATTACGGTTCTCAGTTGAAACTTGGATTTTTTTTTTAAGTTTTTTAATGGCCACATTAAAAAGTTGTTTTGTATGCAAGCAATGTGCCTATTTTAAAATTAATTTAGCAATTACTAGATCTTCGTGTAAAGCCATTTAATGGATAGGTTAATAATCAATTCACGAATTTTAATGGCCAGTAACGATCGCAATAGTAATTAGTGTGCTTTGACGACTGGATCTACTAATGATGTGGTTGTACGATAAGGAACCAATTTACAAACTAATTATGAACCTTTTATGTGAATCAAAATTGTCCGTTATAAATGCAAACGCGTAATTTCTGTTGGCGTACCAGGTTTGATCATAAAAATGATCGAACTTATACAATCGAATATTTTATTAAATGGGTCTATCTGTTTAACTCCGACCTAGTTAGCTGAGTAGTGTAACGAATTTGGCTGTTATTAAATAAATTTGTAGTATATAAGAAAATTATCACTGCCTTTTCGAAAAGTATTTTAGTATTGTGTTCATGGATTATGAATTGTTTTAAAATTTATATCTTTTTTATTGTAAATTATATTAATGTTTCGGTGAACATGACGGTAACAGTAAGGGTGATGTTTGTTTAATGGCTCACGACCCCAGGCCAGGTAACTGTGGATGGAGATTGTTAATGTGGTCGCCTACTGAGTTTCTCGCCGGATCATCTCAGGGGGTCGCGTTTCCGATCCGGTGGTAGATTCTACCAAGCACTGCTCTTGCTAGGGCCAGTGTTAGCAAATTCTCTCAGGCTACCAGTGAATAGGTAGGGGATAATGAAGTGATCATATTAATTATAATAATACCAAGGAGCCTGGAATGCATAGTATTTATGTATATATAGTAATAAAACATGGTGACATGGCTGAGGGTATGCAGAAAAATGCCAATAAAATTCGTAACATCTCTATTCAGTTTAATTTTGGTAGTAACTTAAATCGGTTGTCATGTTCATCCGAATTTTATAAATTAAGGTAAACTATGCAGTTATTGTCCCTCGAATGTTAGTAACTTGAATTGAGTATAGTGATTGGTACCGGTGCTCTTGGCTATTTCCTGATCTTAGCATTACTAGAAGCATATGCCATATTGTTCTGAAAATTCATACAAAACTCGGTTAATAATTAGAATTCAAATAAGTAAATTGAACGTTTGAACAAACATCTATTTCTGGATTTGTAGACTCAGTGCCAATAATACGATAATTTACCCTCTTAAAGTAATTGTGAACTCTGTAAAGTATATATGTATATTTATAAAAATATTTAGATTAATTTTACACCATTAAATTAATTTTGATTTAATTAAGAAATATTTTCAAGTTGTGCCTAATCATAGTATATTTTGTGGCATTAGAGAGATTCAATCGCCATTTCTTACAGAGAAACTGCTTATTTATTGTGCTTGTTGTAAGAGACATCATAGTGATTAGTAAATATATTATGATTCTGAGAATCGTGACGTCTATTTGTGTTCGCCAACTTTGCTTACAACTTTTTTTTTGAACACGCAATGTAAGACGTTTAAAAGTGCACTGAAGGTCGAGGTCAACGACCTCCAGCCCTGCACGTGGGGAGCTGCCTTCGCCGCAAATTGCACATCTATGCATCCATTTTGATAGGATAAGATTTCTGTAGATCGTTGATCTGAAAACATGTCAATCGTTTTCCTAATGCTTCAAATGCTTCAATTCAATACAAGCTTGAATGCTTCAATTCAGCGTTCTGAGTTCGGAAAGGCCTCTCCCTTTAGGTATATATGTACATATATATAATATTATTCTTAAGATGGTCGCTAACCGGAAGCATTCACCCGTAACGTAACAGTTCAGTGTGCTCGGTGCGAGTTTTTTAACTTCTCGATCGCGTAAAAGTTAACACAAATTTGTATGGAATTGGAACAGCGCCCCTAGCGGCAAACGTAGGGAAGCTGTTCCAACTCCATACAAATTTGAGTCTTAACTCAAGTATACTTATAACGGCGAACATTATTATACACTCAACGTATAGATAATCTTGAAATTAGTCTTAAAACCAATATCTCAATTTTAGCTTCATACATATGTTAGTAGTATGTATGTATGTAACGGAAACTATGATCATGTTTTTGAACCCTTTCAAAACGTCCGATTCGGAACTCAATTTCTGTTTTTTTGAAGTTATACTTCTTTAGGCGCGTTATGAAAAATTGATGAAAGTGAAATTTTACGATGCGCGCGCACCGTGACACAAAATTAGCAGAATGAAGTTGCCCACTAAACCGCTCATTACAATACGGCCGACGTAACTTGGCGAGTCTGAATATAGCCGCAGGTGAACTTTCCGAACCGTACCGAGAATTACCGAATTTATACGATGTCAAGAAAAGGGATGTCCAATATGTGTGTTTTAGGATGTAGTATAATCAATTTTTTTTCAAATTGATTAAAATTTAAATAAAAAAAAGGTAATAAATTTAATAAAAATAAAGTATAACTTCTTACGCGCGTACATAAGTACACGCACCCTTTTTTTTTAGTTCGATTTTCTATAAAAGCGTGCTTTTTAGTTTTTTTAACTATTTATTTAACGTTCGAATTACTATCACGCTCAACCATAAGACCATTTTTTGATATTGTAAAAAATGTGATTCGACTGCAGACGAACCTAATTTTGACTACATATTTTGACTACATAGTTATATTACAAGCATTTTTTTTTTTAATAAGCTATGAATAAAAAAGAAAAAAATGTAAATGAATGCTCTTGGTGTGCGACCGCCTTTAAACTAAACATTAGTCGATTTTCGATAACCAATTATTTGTAAGAATAACGATTCTTAATAACGGTGCTTGAGCGTTTGTAATGTTATATTTTACTCTTAATTGGAACTATATTGACTACTCCAATTGAGACCACTGCTGATTAATAGAGTGTATTGAGTTGAAATTTAGAGGAATCGGTACAAAGTGAGATATCATCTATATCTATACTAATATTATAAAGAGGAAAGATTTGTTTGTTTGTTTGTATTGAATAGGCTCCGAAACTACTAAGCCGATTTGAAAAATTCTTTCACTGCTTGGAAGCTACACTATTCCCGAGTGACATAGGCTATAATATTTTGTGAAAAAAATTAGGGATCTTTACTAAAACTCCAATAATGTAACCAAAGGTGTAAAAAAATTACCTAAAACATTCTTTACATCGCGAGCCCTGCGAAAACTATTGATGATAGAATAAAATAATGTACAACGACTTTGTAGAACACATTATTAATTACAAAAAGTGTCGCGACAGCATATGTTTAACTATTGCAGTTATGCCGCAATAAGTGTTCTTTTATTTAAAAAATAAAACAACGTCAAATATCGTTGAAATTTTTGTTAAAGACTCGAGCGGAGCCGGAGCGGGCCGCTTATATTAAATACGTGAAGCAAAAACTTTGTACCCCTTGCCCAGCAACTAGTCTCGACCAGCGAAGCGATCTGTGATCCCTCGTGTTCGTAGCCTCAATCTCCCGGGAATTTGAGTCGCTAGTTACATATGGGTCCATAAACGGTATTCAGATTTTCAAAGGACAGCTTTAACTAGTTAGTTAAACAGTTCCCAGGATCGACTGTATTAAGCATTAAAACTTGCACGTGTTGCAGTGTGTTAAGTCATTGATTTCTTTTATTGCGTATATGGGTGGATGAACTCACGACCAACCTTGTGTTAAGTGGTTAGCCGAGCCCACAGAGATCTACAACGTAAATGACGCCACCCACCCTGAAACATGAGTTCTAAAGTATATAATGTAATGAATTGATGAAAAACATTGAAAATAAAACCGTGAAAATACGTTTGGTTTTTATATCTCAAATTTCCACGAAGTGCGATATTTATAATAGTAAAAAATATCGATTCCAAATGTTGCCATGTTCCTTTGATGACCATAACGTTGCAGATATGGAAAGAAATGTATTTAAATGTGATTTTTAGATTTAATTTGTGTAAGTTTTCAATAAATAGATTTAAATGTTATTGGGGACGTGTACCAGCTGTGCTGTCATTAAACCAATGGCCGGGATTTTTTTATAAAAAAAAAAAACTATTGTAAGACATAATAAAGTACTATACAAATTATTTGCTTGTGTTTTTTCCCTATATAATCGTTGGTAGCCTAAGGGGTTATTCCAACTTAACGCAGACCGGTTGGTGAGCTCACGGGCTTAGCCTAAGAGAATTGTTAACACTAGCCCTAGCAAGAGCAATGCTTCGCTGAATCTACTACCGGATTGGAACTGCGACCCACTGAGAAGATCCGTCGAGAAACTCAGTGGGTTGTGTTTATGGGCTAATTCGCTCGTCGGAGTTGACGAGTTTGACGAGGACTGTTACCGGAGCGTTTCATTTAAAATTAAATGAATTCAAAATTGTTTTAATACTGAATTAATGGATTCCTCAGTTACATAGTTAATTTCTCACAACTACCTATTTTTTACTGGTGTTAGGACCCCTTGTGAGTCCGCACGGGTAGGTACCATCGCCCCACCTATTTCCGTCGTGAAGCAGTAATGCGTTTCGGTTCGAAGCGCGGGGCAGCTGTTGTAACTATACTTGAGATCTTAGAACTTATATCTCAAGGCGGGTGGCGCATTTACGTCGTAGATGTCTATGGGCTCCAGTAACCACTTAACACCAGGTGGGCTGTAAGCTCATCCGACCATATAAGCAATAAAAAAATAAAAAAACTGATAAATACCATTTCTTGTATTCCATGGCATCATTCGGCAGACTAAAACAGAATCCGCCCTTACCATAGAAAATATTACACTATGTTATCGACTTCCTTTTTTTAAAGCGCTGCTACGGAAAAACGGATAATACATATAAAAAAAATCTAAAAGCAGAGTGAGTCGAATGTTATTTTACAAGTCCTCATGATTCTTGTAAAAAAATAATTTAAAACATTTAAGACAATTGTCTTGAGGTTTTTTTATGATTTGATCGGTGGACGAGCTCACAGGCCACCTGGTATTAAGGGATTATCGGAGCCCAGAGACATCTACAATGTAAATGCGCCACCCTCCTTGAGACAAGAATTCTAAGGTCTCCGTTTTTACAGTACAACAGCTGCCCTACCCTTAAACCGAAACGCATTACTGCTTCACGGAAGATATCGGCAATTTCAAAAAAGTCGTCATGGCCCAAAGGAGTCCGCGCGGATACCCCGCCCCGCCTCTTTCTGTCGTGAAGCAGTAATGCGTTTCAGTTTGAAGGGTGGGGCAGCCGTTGTAACTATACTGAGACTTTAGAACTAGTATCTCAAGGTGGGTGGCGCTTCTACGTTGTGGATGTCTATGGGCTCCAGTAACCACTTAACACCAGGTGGGCTGTGAGCTCGTCCACCCATCTAAGCATTAAAAAAAAAGTTGGTGGTACCTACCCGTGCGGACTCACAAGAAGCCCTACCTCTAGTAATTACGCAAATCATAATTTTGCCGGCTTAATTTTTATTACACGATGTTATTCTTTCACCGTGGAAGTCAATCGTGAATCATTTGTTAAGTACATATTTCATTAGAAAAATTAGTCCTGCCTGCGGGATTCGAACACCGGTGCATCGCTACATACGAATGGCACCGGACGTCTTATCCTTTAGGCCACGACTATTAAGTATCTTGAAAAAATAAAAGTAACATTTGCGACAACACTGATCACGTCAGTAAAGTTACGCGAGTGAGCCACCCACTCTGAAACATGAAGTCCAATCTCAATT